CTCCCACACACACACACACACACACACACACACACACACACACACACACACACCTGTGGTGTCTGAGCCGGACTGAGCATGAGCTCGCCCTCCCCCGAGTCCACCTTCGCCAGAGCCAGGCTGCTGGCTTCTCCGTTGTGCTGCAGCTTCTCCTTCTCGCCCTCCTCCACGTGGCCGTCGGCTGACGAGTAACGGTCCGTGCTGGGGTAGTGACTGTGGCCGTGGCTCTGAGAATAAAACAGACATCACGATCAATACAGAATATATTAAAAAATAACCTTGAATTTTTGTAAATCAATTTAGGTTTTAAAATGTATTTAACTCTCACTTTGTTGTTGTTATCCTAAAGTTATTAATGCTTTTTAAAATGTATTTTACCATCTACTACATGTGTAATGAAATAAAGAAATTGCAAAAATTGATAAAAAAGGAGCGCTGCGTTTCTTTATTCCCAGTAGCGTAACTAAAACACCTTATTACGCTTTCCTCACACCTGAAACAACGTCACAGGTGAAGAGTCAGTTTGAGAAAATCACTCCTGGAAGCAGAACACATTCAGTGTTTCTCAAGAATACTTTGCCAGAGCCTGACATCACAGTGAGCAGGTTCTCCTCTCAGTACTACACACTAAATACACAAACACATTTTAAAGCCGACGCTGACAGATTTGGAGCTGCTAATCGTCCTTTATGTCTGTTTCTTGGCAACAGCATTGTAGGTGCTAATGTGGGTGAGAGAGCGTCTGTAATTGGATTAGCAGGTCGATGTGTTAGTTGGTGATTATGTTGGCTGGACCACATGACCCAGAGCACAGCAACCACAAGGTGGAGCAACTGTCCCGCAATCAAAGCCGTTACTGTACACTCACTGCTGCTTTTTGTGAATGAAATCAGCCTCTCTGGAAAGCTCTATGAACGTCTGCAGCTTAGCGTTTCACTAAAGCTGGTTTTAAATCTAATTTAGAGGAAAATCTGCAGGTTGAAACACTGCTGTTTGTTTACCAAAGTGACCCGATCTGTATTTCAGACCAACTGACACGTACACTACTACTGCTCTTAAGCAAATAGGCAGAGAAGTGGCCAAGAGCCAACAAATACAACCACACTGAACGCGTTCACAGCCATGAACACAATACTCCTTATAAAGGACTTACAGCTGTGAAAGAAAGACGTGAACTACAACGAGAAGTTAGTTCAGCATGGATTCAACACCAGACATTAAAGATCAATAAATAAAACAAACACACAAAATGATGCAGCCAGTAAACCTTCTCTGTAATCGTCTAGTGTTAATTAATCAGATTACAGTTGCATGTAATGATTATTTCTAATATCCTTAAATCTATAGTTGCTTGATTAATCTGTCCTTCTTTTCTTTTGTTTATTAGCACATAAAAAATCTAACAAAACAATATTAATAATAACAGAATATACAAGGGAGACCAAAAGCCTAAAAGGCTCATCACACGTCTCCCCCAGTCGTTATTTAAACATTAACATAACTTAAGAAAATACAATTTTGAATAAAAATAAGAAGTTTCATTGTACTATAATTATTATTTTTTTTAAAAGCAACAGACAAATAAGTAATATGAAACTAATTAACCAAAAAAGACTTCGACATTTGTGTGGTTGAAGATTTTCGAAATTGCCTCCTGAAGACTGTCAAGTCCCCATGATTGAGTTGTTTGAGCACTAAAGTTTCTTTACTTCAAACATGAGCAGTTGAAGGTAAAAGAGGATATCTTTGACTGGAGCCTCAGAACTTTGTGATGTCAAACATCTGAACGAACGTAAAGCTGAATTCCTCTCCGAACGATACGTGTCACTACGATGTATGAACAGTACAGTCCAGTGCACATTAGGTAACTATGTTAACGTAACGTTAAGATTCACTCCCCGATAAGTAAACTCCTGGAGGCAGGGCCGTGAACTTGAACCACCGGTGCCTCTGGTCCTAACTGGTTGAACCCGCCACAGATCAGTGGATCGTCATGAAGATGCTCAGTGCAACAGATAATTAAAGATGATTAAATGTGCAGTGTGACAACATGGCTTGGTATTACATGGCTTGGTATTACAACAGGAGATGGAGTATAAAGGAACAGACAGTATAAAGGAACAGACGGTAGTACCAGCACAGGAGCAAAGTAAAGTACTGCTGTGGACGTATTTTAGACACCTAATAAAAAGGCCCACCTAAGAAATGATATCATTATTGTGACTGTTTTACAAAAAAGTCTGCTGTTGCTCGACTGTTCCACTTTGTGTCAAACGTGTGTGTTGAGAGTCAACTCCTCTTGATTAAAGGAAACCGATGACAGCTTTGGAGTCCTGGTTTAATGCCGGTCATACCGTGTTGTGTCTTTGTGGGTCGACCCTGGATAGAAGCTGTTTAAAGCGGCCATGAACACCGGCTCTTCTGTCCATCCGCGCTGCTCAGCCTCAACTTAAAGCACTGTTTCTCGCAGCTCTTTCAACATCAAATAACAGCAGTTTCTGTGACTTTCTACTCTTATAACTCACACAGGCTCAATTGTAAAAACGCACCATTTTTTAAGGAAAGAAGAGGAAATACTAATTAAACCAAATATATCTATAAATTAAAGTGACAGTTTGGTTTTAAGCCCCACCTTTCTGGCTTCTTTGTTCTCAAGCTGCCTGCTGCTTCGACAGCTTCCATAGAAAAGTATTCAAAGTGAAAAGCTAAAGCTAACACATCTTAATGCTACGTATTGATCTTATGGATATGCTTGTTGTCGTCATTGTAATTTGCTATTGTCCCACCGCCTGTATCCAACAATAAAACCATATATATATATATCCCGTCATTCTTGCCGTGCATGTACTCACCCCGTTTTTCTGTTTGAGAAGCACTCTGAGGACTTTCTCGGTGAAGAAGAAGAGGTAAAAGCCTGCGAACACCACCGCTGATTTGGACACGTAGAAATCCTTCATGGGGTCAAAACCAAAGGCCTACCATTGTAGAAAAAGAAGATGGTGTGAGGCTGTTAGGAGTGTTTCTAGAAGCTGTTATCACATCATTTCTGCCTGACATCTCTTAATGTGAATTTTGAAATGTAACTGACAAAATGTAATTAAGCAGGTTTTTGAGAGGTTGGTGAATTGCTTGTTTTGAACTCTAAGTGTGAAGTTTCTTTTCTGGCAAAGAGTTAAACTAAATCATTTCCCCACATTTATCTTCACTGTCGGGGTCGATTGATGAACGAACATCAACTATGAGCCGACGTCCTTTTAAAGATATTGCAGAGATATTTCACAGCAGCCTCCAATCTGAGACCGGTTGAATTATGTATGTAACCGTCTCCCCTTCAATAGACACAAACCTCCCACAAATCAAATCAAACCACTTCAGCTCTGAGCTTGTTTTCTTCTCACTATTCATCCCAGATGAACTGATGCAATGAAACACACAACAGCTGTAAACCTGGCCATGATAGGCGTGGGCACCGTCTAGACAGCATTTAAAAGCTGTTTCTCATATGTGTGGGTTGTGTAAACTGAGACTTTGAACTTCAGTCAGTGTGTGGACATGCACCTCGTGTGTTCACACTACAAGCGACAAAGCAACGTTTTTCAGGTCATTCTCAATAGAAGCTAGCAACACGGAGCTACAAACTGACGCGCAACCTCTTGTCGCTGCGTGAAGCGCTGACCACGCTCAGCCTTTTGTTGCTGTAGTCTCTCGTAGTGTGAACACTTGCTAAACTTAATCTAAATGAGAAGCCTGAATTGATTAATGAGGGTGAAGTACATCATTAAAGCTCAATGTCTTCTGTAGAAATTGGACTAAAACAACTCTAATCTGCAGTGACTATGCATTTTCCATTTCAAAATGTAAGAGTTTGCTCGTTGCTCAATTTAGTTAATGCTGGTTGTAACTGGTGGTAAAATGGTTTACAATTAGAGCACAAGACTCCTTCTAGATTAAAGAGTAACTAAACCCCCAAAACACTTTGTTCAGCAGAAAACCGTTGTGTATCGGTTTTTATTGGTGTTTTGATGATCCGGGTCCTACTCTTGACATTTCAGTGCAAAGCGTTTGATTTCTACATATTGTGTTATAAATATAACAAACTGCCGTCAACTGGTTGAAACCCGGCTATTGAAATTGAATTTTGCTCATGGCTGATGTGGAAGCAGGTGATGTGTATGTTGGCAACGTTTGTCACTAACCAGCCCCACCAAAGTCTGGCTAACAGTAACAGTAACATAAACCGAGCCCAGCAGGTCACCTGCCACTTGTTTATGTTCTGCAACTGTAGCATGAAAGGAGGGTGGAGTTAACAAGCTAGCTTGCTAACAAGCGAGGAGCTAAATGGGTAAACGTAATGCATCATCCACACACTCATGTCCCAGCGTAGGAAAGCACATTGCTAACGCCTGATAATAAGTTCTTTACACTGATTTACGACTCCACGGAAAAGAGAAGAAAGGCTTGAGCTGTGCTGTGATTCTAATGCTACACTGGTTACATAAAATAAGCTTCCTATAGATGTGACTTGCTGTATCTTAGCCCCCTTTACAGGCCAAAGTTGAGACTTTTTGCCTGTTCTAGAAGCATTTTCTTAATTTCCAGGAGGCACTTCAGCCTAACTCTGGGGTTTAGTCACTCTTCAATATACACAACAATAACTCATCCTGCTCGTTCCCTTCCTTGAAACTGCGTAGCAACCTTGCACTGCAACTAAGAGCGCCACAGCAGCATCTTGAGAGAGAGCGTCTACCTCTGGGATGAGCTGAAACAGGGCGTTGGAGTAGAGCGTGCCAATGGCCAGGGCTATGAAGTAGAGCAGCAACCGCTTGTAAAAGGTTTTCTTCATGAAGGGCACCACGCAGGCCCCGACCAGCGAACACAGAGAGATCAGTGTCACACATAGGATCCCATAACCCCACACTGATCAACGGAGAGGAGAGGACAGACGGGGGGAGGTAAGGAGAAAAAAAAAAAGAAGACAGAAGTAGTTAGTTGAGAACTGATGTTATCACATTAATCACAAAAGGCAAGGAACAAAAAGTTAAGAGAACACCAACCATTTATCTCCCTGAAAAGAAGAGTAAGAATGAAATCATCCTGAGAAAAATAATTGATTTCATAGACACCGGAGACAACAAGCTCATTTGTTCATTGATTGAGAAGTGACACCACCTTTCATTTGCATTTCAAGATAGGAAGTTGTTGTCCTGTGAAGCAGTCCTCGAACCCCATGCGTTTTGATAGAGAGCGGAAGCAATTAGGGTAAAATTACAGTTTACTTTTGCACACGCACACGCACACACACACACACACACTTTTGTCCTCGTCCACTCAGGTGTCTTGCCAACAGCGTTGTCACATTTCAATTTGAAGGACGCTTTAAGGGTGCGGCGCCCCATTTCTCCAGGATTCTCTTACACTAAACTGAAATTTATGAACCACGAAGCCCAAACGACAGAGTGAGTGAAAACACTTTAATCACATGCTATCTCATGCTGCAGTGGTAGAAGAGAGCTGAACTGTCTCTCCAAGAAAAAACATCATAGCTGGCCGACATCCCATTGCCAGAAAAGCTGCAGACACAGATGCAAAACAATGCCAAGCGATCGGGGATGCAGTGAGGGTAGAGCGAAACCAAAAGGTCTTCCAGAGTGCTTATTAGAGCCCGAGAAAACCACAGAGGAAACACAAAAGGCAGGAAGCTGAGGAAGATATGACCACGACAGACAAAGGAGCCCCTGTCTAAAGGTGCACTGGTTTTATAAACAGCCATGAGGCACTGCAGGGAACTAAAGAGGCTTTCAACTTTGGTGTTTGTGTGTTTTTAAAAAGCATAAAAAAAAGGGTTTGTGGGATGCGAAAAGATTTTTTAAAAAACGTAGAGAGAAATATGGATGGATGGCAAACCTCTGGCAGCAGCTGCAGGATGGCAGTGGAGTACAGCGTGCCGATGGCAAGAGCGATGAAAAAGGTGAGCGCGTATTTCATGTAGCGCGTCTTCAACAGGGGAGTGATGAAGACTCCGGTGAGGGAGAAGCAATTGATCACCGTCACGCTCAGGAAAGAAAAGCCCCACACTGGAGGTTTGAGTGACGGCAAAGGTTGGATGGAAGAGGAAGGAGTAACATTAAAAAACAAAAAAATACTACCGTGCATAATGTGTGCGGTAATTCAGCTGTAAACGCAGCTTGAGCCTTGCATCATCACTCAAACTGTTGTCAGTACAGTTACGTTGTCAAATAAATGCTATGCTAAATTCAAGTTAAAAATCAAATACTGATCTCACAGCATTTATCCGCATCAGCTCTACTAAAATGCAAACAAATGTATTGGATGTTAATTTAACTAACTCAGCTCTGCTGGTTTAAAAGCAGATGTTTATGTATGTTGAGCCTTAACTCAGTGGTTCCCAACAAAGGCTTTGGGACACTGCCAAGTGCTGAAATGATGATTAACTAGATAGAATTATCTATCTTTCTCTCATTTTTAATTTGGTTGTGAAATATTGTTTATAGTTGTACCTCTTCTATCTCTAAATTAACCTACGGGTCACAAGTAGACTTTTTCTTTGCTTTTAAGGGTCCCCGGCCCAAAAAAGGTAGTGAACCACTGGCACCTGTAGAAAAACAAATAAGGCTTCTTGACATTTGTTGAAGGTTTTTGTGCCCTTTTTGTCAGCGGCTGCAGCACCTGTCATGTTCAGAGGAAAATAAATGTTAAATTAACAGAGAATTATGATGAATGCAACGCGGTGAGATAACTTCTCCACGCTGTAAAAATGAAACAAAAGCTGGATTAGAAAAGGTTTTAATAAAAGGTGCTGATTATGGGAGCTCTGACTTCAACGTTTGGTAGTAAACGTAATGGGAAACGATCATGATATACGAGTCAGTGAGGTTTCCATGGCATCCGCCTCCCTGCTGCCGGCAAATCTTCGCACCCTGCAAAGAAAAACAGCTCTCGAGCCAAAATAAGCCGTCTACCAGGGCATGTGTGAGGCGAGCTTGAGGGCTTATGAGCGGAGGATAAGAGAAAACAAATGTACCCCTGCAGAGGGAGAGATAGAGCCACAGCTCTGGGCCTTTAAACCAACTCTCCTCCACCTGCCAGAGGAGGAGATAAACCGGGCTAAATGAAGTGAAATGTGTGAGGCCACACACGAGATTAGAAAGAATATGAAGCCATTGATGTCCGCGGCCGTCACATTCATTCTGAAAGCTGTTATTTTTCTTTAGGTGGAAACTAATGAAGTACTGAGAACATTCCTGGAGCGTCGCTGCTTTCGAACACGAGTTCTGCTGCAGCCTCGAGGGCAGAACATCACACGACGAGTTAAACCAAGTCTGTCATTAGCCTGCTTTTTATACCAGCCACATGCTGCAACGCCAATTTAGCTTCCACCCAATGAGAGCTCAGAAGGCTCGTTAAATTGGACGGAGGTGCCAAAAATGGCTTCCAGAGCTCTCAAGGACAGTCGGCAGTGTGTCTGGAGTTACAGCGAGTCAGCAGCTTTGTTGCTGGGATGCTTTCCTGTCCCGACTGTCTTTACCTGGACGAGATCTCTGCTACATACCGGATGTGCTGACTGAGGCAGGACTGTGGACTGGGTTGGTTTTTAAGCCAAACTGAGAAATGCAATCTGAGCCTTGGCTAACTGAGCGTGCTTATTTTGGCTTCCATCCCCTTCGGGGACATCACGATATCACTGTCTCAAGGCAGCAAAACACACATTTGGAGCTCAGATCTGGCGAAGACATGTTTTGTTTGAAGGTGTCCTTGCATTAGGCTGAAAAATAACAAAGAGTGGGAAAAAAAACATGTATGTATTCACTCTAGAAGGAGCAAAAACAGTTTAAATATACATTAGACGAATAAAGCCAACAGCAAAGTTTACCCAACATCAATACATCAAAAAGTACACAACACTCAACACTCCTCTGACATACTATATAGGTACAGACAGTTAAAGGATAAAGCTGCTGAAACTCTTTGTTTTTGTTGTTGTTAACAAAACCCATGAGAAGACTAGAACTAACATTATGTTAGTCCATCTCTCTAACTTCTCCACCCTGTCAGGTTCCTCTTTGATGTTTGTTTTTTTTACTTGTGGGTCAGATATCTACTTGCCTGAAGTAAATTTGTACTTGCCTCTATAGAAATTGTTGTACTGATAAGTGATAAACAACAAAGACTTAAGTTAAGTTTGTTTTAGTTCTGCCCACATCCTCTCTAACGCCACCCAACTAAACTCCTTTTTCCAGGATCATTTAAAGGCTCGGTGCCATTTTATCACAAGAGATGAGACGTTTAGTTTATTCATAGAAATATTTAAAAACAACAAAAGGTGACTCAAGTGCTCAGCAGGCTTAACTTCCTTAGCTACTCCAATCATCAGCTCTGGGGAAAAGAAATCATGTGTTGAATTTCATTTTTTCCCCCTTGCCCAATCGTTGCAAGTGAGTTGCTAGATTTACTAGCCCAACGTGGCTTTTTACTTGCCCAGGACATGCGGGCGTTCTTTATTGTTGAGCCCTGTATGTATATGTATGTAGTATGTACTGTATGCAAAACATACTCAAAAAGGAGTAGATCCCACTTTCTTTGGGGGTGATTTTCAACTGAAGATTTGATGCACTAATTAATATTTACGGTAGCAGGAAATAAGTGCAACAGTGTGGCTCATTAATTTGTTTTTAATAGTTTAATTATGGAAACAATACTTCTAGTAGGATCATCTCATGGTTTGCTTTGGTCTTTTCATTGGATTTGTTGATGTTAACCAAAGGAATGTAGAATATCACCAGACTTATCCTTTAAACCTCATTACAGGAAAGATTAAAAAAATACCTTCAGTGTTCTCAAAGATAGACAAATATCATTTAACATTTTATATTAATGGTCTTTGCTCACCTTCGGCGTCTGTGGGCCTGGGGGAGGGGTCAACGGTTGACTCCTCCTCTTTTTGCGCCCTGCAGGTGCCGGCATCCAGCTGCTGCAGCATGGTGGGGCAGAGCTCCCGCAGGCCCGGCCCGTCCAGCCGGGACTGCTCGCTGATGCTGTGAACGGCCAGCGTGTCTGCAGGCAAGCACTGGGAATGAAAACCAAAAGAAGATACCATTTCACTTCAAAACAATTGAGTTAGCCAAGTATGTATTCAGTGGCAGGTCAGGGTGCTTTGCGGGCAGAAATTAGCTTTCAGTATTTGGAGTATTTAGAGACGAGCAGCCACCTGTGACAACATGCGTGCGACACGTGAATGAACACGTTACTGGCAAAGAGCCTCACCACATGTGGTGAGCAGTGACGGTTATTGGTCTCACACCTCTACAACAATGGGCACCGCCCGTTTGTATTTTCATATTCACAAAGGTAAGGACTGAGTGTACATTCCAGTACCTGAACTACATGTGACATTCACCTCTTTGTTCTGTATCTCGTTTCTCAGAAGAGTTTATTGCTCTGCCACCATTACTCAGAGAAAATCTATTCAAAAGCCCATCAGCAAGTGAGTCAATCACCCACGACACTAAGCATGGGAAATATGCTAAATATTTCAGCTGTCTGGCACCGGTGGCTCCTGCTTCTTCCAGGCAGGACAAAAGCTGGATTTACCTCTTCAGCTGGAGCTTTGTTGAGAGGAGCTCTGAGGTATCCACCGGGCTTGGGTGGTACTCCACGCTATTTACGCTATTCTTTCTACTGTTTGAAGTGCACACGATGCCCCATCAGAGGTCAGTCTACCGCTCTACTGGCTGACAAAGATGGGATAGGAGTGATAGGGATAGCGTTAGGCCTAGAGGACTGGGTAAAATAAAATAAGAAAATGCCGCTCCCCTTGTTGAGGGAGTATTTCAGGTTTAGTCCGGATGATAAAGATCCAACTTGACGAGCCTACATCAACCAACCACAGCAGGTGCTTTTTCTAACTCAACAAAAAAGCCAGAAAATGAGGAACATGCACGGAGTGTACAGCAAGATATTCCATTCGCTATCTGGACTTCTTCCCCTCATCGATAGGCAGTCATGAAGCGATACTTATTTTGTTTAACAACACCTTTAGCGGAAACATATTGCCACATTTCACTTCAACTTGAGATAAACTTTTTCCAAACTATAAAAGCTGTTTATTAGCCACATGATTTCTGCCTCACCTGCACATCTTCTCCATTAAGCCCACTGTGTCCGTGTCCACAGGCCATCCTCCAGCAAGAGGGAGCTCATCTATTCATGTATTATTCTAGAAGTATCTAAACACAGCAAGACTAACTGTCTAAGTGGGCTATTTGCATATTAGACACACAACAGTGTCGGCTAGACAACGACATCACATACAGCTTTTCTTAATTCAGGATAAACTGTTACCGTCCAGGCAAAGTATTGAAACAGCTAACGTGCAACTCCTCAAAACAATGTGAATACACGTCCCGGTGAAGGAGATACGGGTATACATGTGGCACACTAATATAATATACCCAGAAGGAACTATAGCTCCTCAACCATCAGGACTGTATCACATATCTGGTCTTCTTTGAGGGGTAAGAAGCTACAGAATATGAATCTACTGTAAGTAAACTAAACTATATTAACAAGCCAGAGAAAATGAAGAAGCAATCATTTTTATCCTCGCCACAATTCCACCAAGCAGCCAGTTCAGTTTTACTCTTTTCTGACATTTTTAAGATTGAAAAATGAATTGATTGACAGTAAAGGTATTACTGGGAAAAAGAGACGGGGAACAACATGGTCAAAGAATGAGACCGCTCCGTCATCAGGGCTTCCCAAATTCAGTTAATAATGAAACAAGCACATCATTTACATAACAGTGCTGACTGCAGAGGTCTTCCTTTACGCATTTACATTGAACCTCCAGTGGTCATCACATTCACATCTGGCTGTTCATTGTTCATTGGCTGTCGCAGAATCAGTAATCTAATCTTCTTAAAAACTAGTTTTTACAGACTGGCTATTTATATGATGTCATCTTTTTACTTTTATTTTATTTCATTTTATTTTATTTCATTTTTTTTAAATTTTACTTTATTTTATTTTATTTTATTTTATTCTTATTGTATCGATTGGTTTTATTGTTTCATCTATTGAACTGTTAATATCAGTGTTTTCCTTGGTCTCTCAAAGCATTTAGTAAACTCTGTTTTTAAGCTGTTATATAAATAAAGTTAATAGCAGATGTTACAAGCCAAGTAGCTTCAATCATTAAAGGGTTTCAAACAGCGTGAGCGAGTGCTACAGTAAGTCATTATATTTCTTAAATCATGTTCATTAATTAAACATTATAAAAAAGTTAGAACCAAAACGTGGTAGCTTCTTGTGCGGAGATTCATTTTGCACCTGAACTCAAAGAACTCAGTTTAGTTCTCACCTTGGAGCGGTTGGACTTGAGAGGTGTGTTTATCGTCGGCGTCTCCGCCACGTTGCTGCCGTCGCCGTCGCCGTCGCCTGCATCCCCTTCACCCTGACCCTGGCTGATAAGGGCCAGCAGCGAGCGCAGCTGGGGCACCGAGATGGTGCCATTGTCTCCGTAGCGGGACAGCAGGTCCTGGAGGACCTGAGCGGGGGACTGCGTCTGACCCTCTCCCTGACATGTCACAGCCAGGGCCAGAACAAACATCAGCTGGCACCGGAGGAGGGTGATGGACGTGGTGGCTCGGCCATGAGGAGACCAGATAAGCATGGCTTCTTTTCTGGCTTCTTTACTGGCTGGAGGACGTCGGTCTGTGGAGGGAGGACGGGAAGAGAATAAGAGAAATACTTAAACTAGGACTAAAAAAAACACCATTTCCAAATTGTGTTTGAACCCATTTCAACATATGGAGTTACATAATAACATTGCATGAATAAATAAAAACAGACTTAAATCAAGCTGATAGATGGAATATTGATCAACTATTAGGCAACAAAACAGGATTTGAAGAAGCATTTAGTGCCATGTTTTAGTTACAAAACAGTTTGAAATACGAGACAAAATGACTGTAGGACAGCACTCAAGAACATTGATGCACAACCCTATTGTGTACTGAATATACCTTGCACGTTGCAGCTTTAGGCATCTGTATATTCAATTATTTAGCAGGTAAGGGGACAATCCTAAACACCCAAAGTCCACTCAAAGGCCCACTGATGGACCATTAGCACAAAGCACAGAGAGGGAGGAGGAAACCAGCAGGAGAAACAGACAATTACACACAATTACAGCACACATTCACCAGACAACACACACACCATCAGTATGTAACACTCTCTGAAACACAAACCAGACACTGAGCGTTTTTTCCTCTTCACTTAAAACACAGCAGTTTTTTCACACACACACACACACACACACACACACACACACACACACACACACACACACACACACACACACACACACACACACACACACACACCATTCCACCCTGCAGGTCCACATGCAAAGCTGAGGCTGAATAAACAGACACCATTCATGTTTGTGTGAAGAAACGCTCACCTTTTCCTACAGAGCCTCTAATGATAGCTGGTGCGTTAAGCCCCTGAGTCAGTCTGTCTGCCCCGAGGCTCAGAGTGTGCTGAGTAATGCCCACAGGTTACCTGGGAGCAGTGATGAAGTCAAGGGGGGGGGGGGGGGGTGGAAGGAAGCACAGCTCCTCAGGAGTGCAGCGGAGGAGAGACAGATAAAAACGAAGGCTACGACTCACCGGTGAGGAAGAAAGAAATAGGAAAGGATGAAGAAGCAGTGAAGAAGAAAATAAACCAGAAATGGCAGCTGCCAGCTTAAATGTTCTGTCTGCTGCTCTTCCCCATCGACTTGCCTCCTTCACATTCCAATCCAACACTTAAGACCACAGCGTCCAGCACCGAGCCAAACCCACGTTAGTATTTCTTTTATGAAGCTGCAATGAGCATTCCTCCTCCATTTATATGTGACAACATAAAGGCCGGCGGTGGAATCTGACGGGGAAATACTGCAGCTCGTAAAACATCCGATTCAGCTACTGTGGAGGAACCCATCATGCTGCCAGCCAATAGGATCACCTCTCCGTCGCCGAGGGGTTAGAACCTCCAGATAACTGGCTTATAAAGCCAGGAGAGTCTGAACAAATGACACACCGACTCTGCCTCTTCTTTCTTTATATACAGTGTGCTGCCGAGATGCCGCTGGGCAAGGCGCTACATCCAAACTGCTCATGTGGCCAAGTGAGTTTATGTGTCTGTGGAGGTCAGCTGTGTGGAAATGTGACAAGTCTGTCTGCTTCTAATCTGAGTATAATCACAAACTTTACCCTCTCGGGGATGACGAGGCAAAGAGAAGACTCTCCCCTTCAATAAGTCTCCTCAATGACTTGCATCTTCTCTCTCTCTCAAACTGTCCACCTGTGCTCTCTCTAATGAGGCCGTATTCTGAACTCCAGCAAGTGGAAAGCAGGGTACAGAAAATAAGAAAAGAAAATCCTGTTTTTAAGTCTCTTTAGTGCCATTTCTTTTCGTTTCTCCCCGGAGCACTACTCTCTTATTCAATCCTCTGAACCTTGCCCTCCTTACTTCTGCTGCTGTTAGTGAGACTCAGTGGAAGCCAGGAGGGAACAATGCTGCTGAGAGTGGAAAATGATTGTTCAAATCTTCCATTACAGAACTCAGTTCTATATCATATTTAGATAGATAGATGCATGTCTATACACAGGCCTATACTGTGTTGTAGTAAGCTCACTTGCTGAACCAGTTTTTCCATGAAATAACTGATGGGAATGTCTGTTTTTTTTTGCTAATCTACTAACTTAAATACCTGACATTAATCCAAACATTACCATCATTGAGTTGTTCCCACTGATTTTCAGCATTGCCAGCAAAGGTGTAACGCTGCAGAGATATTAAAGAGACGGCTAAATTAAATGGAGGAAGCTGATAACCGATTACTGGAAGTCTTTTGGTGGTTGTCAGCTCATTTTATGCCAAAACTCTCCGCATCGCTGGGACTTAGCTGGTTAAATAAAGGTGAAACAACAATAGAGCATACATCTGTATTATCTAGATGTAGATGTTCATATCCCCAAACACTACTTGAAGCTTTTACTCCAGCAGTGATGCTGCTTCAACCTACACCGGTCAAGAGGTTCACAACGGGATAAACGTCCAACAATAAGTCCAAAAGGCCTCAGCTCTCCTCTTCCACATTTATTTTTCATTAAGAGAAGAGTGAAGGAGGCGACGTGTGATGAGATGTTTAGGAGTGACTAAAGGCAGCAGCGCAAAGACGGACATGCCCTGGATAAACACTGTCCTTCTTAATGTCTTTACAGGTTAAAGGCAGAGTACGCGTTGCATTTAAGCACGAGATTATTTCCACTAAAGTTAAAACAATGTCTGTTCACCACCGAGGCAAAGGTGATAAAGGAGTGGAATCGACTTGCATTGAGAAATAACAGGGCTTATGGGAAGTGTGGTCTTTAGTTTGGCAAACAAAAGCACTTACGATACCTGTGGGAACACCCAAGATCCAACATTACATCAACTTACCACAAGTAATCTGCAAATGATGCGTCAGTGTTTAAGTAAATGGACCAAATTAAATGTTTTCCTCCGTTCAGTTAACTTTGTGATGGTGATCACGGTAATAATGAGTTATCGTGACTGCTTCTTTTTTGTTTGAGATCATTGTTTAGTTGCAACAATTGCTGTTTATGCCGATATTCATTTAATTTTGATTAAAGTTGATTGATTAAAGTTTAGAGGACAAACCTTGAACGGGATTCACATTTTCTTAGCTCATGCGTTTGCCTTTTGAAACTCTCGTGCACTGATATCCTCCTCAAAAACACAGCATCGGCTGCGCTCTGTTTGGCATGCGGATAAGATAACCAGTGAGGAAGAGGAGCTGTCAAACTGCTGCGATGATAACATGGACGTTAAATACACATGCACTGCGTCCTGATTTTGCTCCGGAGAGCATGAAAGATCCAAACGGCCGCGGTCCAATCAAAACAATGCAGAGGCTGCTTGGTAAATGTCAGCCCGTCCGGTCAGACCAGTGTCACCGCACACTCGTTGAGGAGTCCAAGGCCTATTTGTGGCTGTGGAGATAAAGGACGGTGGGAAGAGACAGGCAGTCTGCAGCCTTCGAAGGCCTCTGCCACGAAGTTGAATACGATGTTGAATACGAGAGTCAGCGACGGAGGACGCGAGAGGGAAGAGCAGGAAGGGAAAATGTTTAGTCACAGTCTGCTGGACTTCAGTCCCAGCGGCATGCACTCGACTCTGCTCTGCTCAGCCTTTCAAATCTTTCTCTGTTCTTAGAAAGTCGCCTGTTTTTCCCTGTTTCGAAAATTTGAGACTTTCCTCTCGTGACGTTGTCAGATTAGAAAAACAAACAGGTGACTGCCACTCAAGCCACGAGCAAACATGTGATACATTTAAGAAAAACAGAGAAAGTCCGGGAGTGAGTCAATGGTGATTAGGCTTTATCAGGCAAACCAAACGATCAGAATTATCAGCAATAAGGCCACGTCTCTCAGCACACAGGGTTCCTGGACCCGTGTAAACACAGCTCGGGGAGAAATGTCCCTTTGTTATCATCAACTCCACCACCTGACTGAGCAGAAATAAAACCTCTGATCGGTCTTAAGTGTAGCAGGAGGTCAAAGGGGAGACGCTAACACCAGCCTGCACACAGCACAAAGGAAAGAGACAAATGGTGTAACCATACAAACTGTCACCACTCCAAACCGACACACAATGCTTTTAAATAGGTTGGTGAGTAACTCAGGCAGAGATTAAGTTAACAACACGTTCTATTTTGGCAACATGTTCTTCTCTGACACTTCTGCACTGGTCTGTTGGATCTCGACTCTCCTTTTACTCGTCTGAAACAGTTTCAAGAGAAGCCATCCTCATTTGTTTTCTATTCCTGCAGCAACAAAAATAAGTGACGGGAGTCTCATCGATCTGGATTTAAATCTACCGCCATGAAACCAACGAGATGATCAGATGCGACTGTGCTGTTACGCCACACAATAAGGTTTTAAAAGCACACTAAACCTGGTTCAAAAGACCTTTAGCACTGTAATTGTGTGTGTTTTCATTTTTGCATTTAATTGTATGCAGTCCAATGATTCATGACATTGCTGTATGGTTAATGAATAATCCCATTTTGCTGCAATAATAAAAAATAATAACATGTTGGCACAAGACGAATTAAGTCAAGGCTTTATCTTAAATTTTCCTTCGGGGACAGAATTTGCAATCAAATACCACATCAACACAATTCAATTTATCAAAGTACACCACAGAAAATCTCACCAATTACTGACTGATTTAATCGTTTAAAATATCAGAAAACAGTGAAAGATGCCTTTCACAATCTCCCAGAGTTCACGGCGACACATCAGATTACTACCAAGAAAAAAAAAACTAAGAACAAGAGCATCAGCAGCACTATATCATGAGAAGTACGTATCTGGTGAGGTCTGGTGATCACAATATAAAACCCAACAGAAGGCTGCAGCTCCGTCACCAACACACCATTATTAACATTAATAACCTGTGATTAGACGTGTGTCTCATTCAGAATCAGACACCAGCAGAAACCTTTTTCTAAAGAGCCGACCGTACCTTTCCTGACTGGAGACACACCAACAGCAGCTGTCCCTCACTACTTCCTTCTGGATTCAAGGCAGCCGGTTATCACACGTCTACACACTCTCCCGTCTCATCCCCGGGTCTCTTTATATACCGCTGGAGTTAAGGGCAGGCTGAGCTCATCACTCTTCACCCCGACGACCGTAATTACTGTCTCTGTGATATCATCAACAAGGACCGTCATTAAAGGAGAGAAAGATGGCCGCACGGCGGTTCACCGAGCGCATCGTAAATGTTCTCCACTCATCCCGAGTGTGCAACAAAGCACCATTCAACCACATGATTATAGGGTTTGTACATGACTGGGTCTGAGTCAGGTCCTCACTTCTACCCAGAGGCCAGCTTAGAGGTCAGAGGTCGGGATGCAGAAGACCACGGAGCGCATTGAGACCTGTGGTGGTTGTTTTGGGGGGGTTTTTTAACACTTTTTCTACATTTCATAAAGAAATGTTAAACATTTTACCTAACTAGCTACATGTATCTAACAGCTGCAGTTTGACTTACTTTGCAGAATATTATCTTACAATAAAACATATGATAGGTGCCGGAAATAACTTCCCGACAGTTATATTTCAAGTAGTTCGAACATTTTACCTCCTTAAGATTAATGCATAACTTATTTAACACCCTAAAGCTCTGAAAATCTTTGTTTACTTTTGCCATGTCTGCTCTTTGCATGATTACAGTAGACAAATACATGAATGGTTTATAATTTACATTAATCAAACTGTTTTTCCAAAACTTTCCCCAACCTGGAAAATCCTATGACAGACTATTTAAGGTTCATCGTGATCATATGAAGCATGATTGATAGTTTATTTTCAGGATTTAAGACTTTTTTCACCACTAAAGACATCTCAGGAAGGCATCACCTTAATTTAAAGGGATTTATTACTTTTAATTATGCAGACAACTTCAGAAACAAACAGTGGTGGAATGTAAGGGAGTATAAGTATAAGTACAAATCTGGGGTAATCGTACTGTTTGAGTATTTCCACTTAATGCAACTTTATCCTTCTACTCCACTACATTTAGAGGCTAAATTGTACTTTTTACTCAACATTTGTCCAACAGCTTTAGTTACTTTTCAGGTTATTATTTTTAATCTCCTTACTTTCCAGTGAAAACCACATTATTGTGGTGATTTTAAATGTTTGTTATAAACTGAAGGATAAAGTGTTCCTTTGTGAGTGGAGAAGATTCTCAAGATAAATAAAGTATTTAAAAAGCCGGTTCGATAAGCTTTTACTGCACAATCAATACTTTTGCTTTAAGTACATTTTGCTGATACATATTTTTACCTACATAAGATTTTGAATGCAGGACTTTAATTTACAGTTGAGTATTCTCAGTGTGGTATCAGTACTTATACACAAGTAGAGGGTCTGAGTACTTCTCCCACCACTTAACCACAGCTTATCACCATACACACTGTATATTTATCACCTACAGATTCTTTACAAGAAGAACAATGACTGAGTATTCTCATAGTGTGGTATTAGTACTTATACATAAGTAGAGGATCTGAGTACTTCACCCACCACTGAACAATACTTACTGTATATTTATCACCTATAAATTATTTACAATAATAATAATAAAAGGTCCAGAGGCAGAATAAACTAAATACAGAACTGTGGTCTTCTCAGCTCAAATAATGAGACACAATACTTTTACATCATTTAGAAACCTCTGGGATTCATAAAAATATGTTTTACTTAATATAATAAAACAATGACAGAGAACATGCGAGTACGCATTGATTTACTCTTTGTTAATTCAAGTGCACACATACTTTTACCCCAGTAAGGTTTTGGATGTAGTACTTTCACTTTCACAGTCAGGTACTAGTACTTTAACTTTAGTAAAGGATCTGAATAGTTACTTCTTCCTCCACTTGAAACAGAATAATTTAGAGGGAGAAACATCTAGTAATAGGACGCTATGACTGGCGCGTTACTCTTTAAGCATGTTTCCTGTCTCTCGCCTGGACACCCACACTCTTTCCATCGCTCAGGTTTTCATAATTACAGAATGATGGAGGGAAACCCCACGGACAAGCCAGTTAGTCTTAACTTGATCCAGCTAACCCTACGGACAAGCCAGTTAATCTTAACTTGATCCAGCTACATTAAGTTAGCTTCTATAGCAAGTCTTGAGTCAAGCTAACCCAGGCGCGATAAGCTTCTAATGTGTTAATAAACGTCTTCAGGGTCAATTAGCAGACAGCTGTCTGTTAGCGTTAGCTAGCTAAAAAGGTAGAGCCAGGTTATATTAGCCGGCTTCTTCTTCCTCTTCTTCTTCGTTGTTTTTTATTTTAGTAGCCGCTACAAATAGCTTACCGGGGTGATGCAGAAAATCAGTCCTGACGTCAAACTGCTCTTTAACAACAGCGTCCCTCTTGATAGGTCACAGACAGACAGGTTAGATAAAATGTCTCCGGTACGTTCACTCATTCACAGAGAGACGGACGGACAGGCGCGTTTATTTTTTCCTCGTCCTCCCATTCAAATAACATCACACAGCAACGGCAGCAGCAGCGCGTGGAGGATGTGGTGGGGTCATTCTCAGTGGTGACGTCGGCAGTTCGTCCTCTGAAGGTTTTTTTTTCAAAGTGGTTGTGTCTCCCCCATGCGGCCGACGGCGGGTACTGCAAGATCCTGAAAAGAATACACAGACAGACAGACAGACAGAAAGAATACACAGACAGACAGATAGATGGATACTTTATTAATCCTGCAAGGGGAAATTTGTTCGCTACAGCAAATATAAAAATATTAAATATAAAAATACACAATATATACAATAAAAACCACAGACTAAAAAAATATTAAATATAAAAATGCACAATATATACAATGAAGTAAAGAAGTATTATAAATAAGTAACAAAACAGTAGAGAATATTAACTAAGTAAAGAATAACTGAAATATTATATATGCAGACAGAATAATTGTTGTATTGCACAGTGTATTTATATTGCACAGATTTTGTTGTCCCCCCCTCAGGCCTTAAACCCTGAACCTGACGTCACCTGATAAGAGGTAATTTAAAATAATATATTTACTCGTTTTTGTCAAAACATACAGATTCAATGACAAAATGAAACATTTGATGAATAAATTAATAAATATCCTCTGGTTTCATGTGTTTATATACAACGTTTCTGTGTAAATGAATTATGACAGGCTGAACACACCTGTGCCGTCCTCTTTGTTTACCTTCTTTCTTTTTTTTTCTTTACATCTGACAGAAAGGAATAAATTACCTCATTCTGGGGAAAATTAATAGTGTCACTTCCTGCCACAATAAAAAGAAGAAAACCAATAGAACAGACAAATAGAAAGACATTTATGAATGTACAACGCCATCTCCTTTTTTATGTTATTTATTGACTAATGGCTGTCTTGTACAGTCCCTACTAATAACATATCTTTATTCTAATTCAACATTTCTTTATTTTATTACCAGTAAATGTTTTTTCTGTCCATAGAATATGAGATATCTTGGATTATCTCTTAATTTAATTATCAGTAGATCAACACTTGCATTGTTTGTCTTTGTCTTGAATCGTTAAAGTACAACAACATAAAACACAAACACTTTCATGCCATGTATACATGGACCTCCAATAATGGTTAAGAAATGCAACAGTCCACAATGTAAGGTTTGTTCACCGATGAGGATTATATGCTAAATCCATGCAAATAATGGGCTCGTCCGGGATTTGAATCCGGGACCTCTCGGTCCGTGTACGTTTTAGTCATCTGTTTTACCGTTAATTCGGAAAAACGAAAATACGGAAATACTATGGTATTCTCGTTTTTCGTTTCAAACCAAAAACGGAAATGGGCGGTCGTATTTCCGTTTTTGGTTGTGAATTCAAAAACGGAAAAACCACAGAACCAAAGTCAAAAACGAGCCGAATTTTGTTCCTTTTTCCTTTAAAACGAGACGCAGAGCACAACATGTAACCCGGAAATAAGAATATTTCAAAATAAAAGTGAAGGCAATATAATGACCGTATGCAAGAAATGCTTAAGTTAACGTTATATAGTGACGCAAGCACATACCAGGGTAACATTAGAAGAAAATACATTAATGAATATAAATAAATAATCCTGGGGCGATGGGAGTGTGTTAGCAGCAGTAGTAGCGAATTCATTTTATTTATCAATGTACACAGCAAGAATCAACTTTTCGATGAATCGGTGCATTGTTTGATGCAATACAGTTCGTGATATAGTTTAATCAAAGTCATTTTTGTGTTTACAGAAATGTTGCTGTTGGCACTGATATTTGTTTGTCCACTGTATTGTGTTGATTTAGTGAACGCAGTGTAGCCGGTAAGGACACGCAAAGTAAGTGTTCACCCGTTCTACCACCAGATGGCAGTATAAGTGTATTTAAACCAAAGATTTTGTTATATTTACCTGTGCATTTGTCAATTAGGTTATTGATACAGATGTATTTAATGCTGATTATTTCATCTGATATTTCATGTTTATGGTTAATTTACATTAGTTGTATACATCATGTATTTACTTGTTATCTTTGTCATTTAAGAACTAAACATACCTACATGGAAGAGTGAGCATGTGTTGATCACGAGGCAATAAATAATGACAATTGAAAAAATAAAGATGTTTGGTTTATTCTTATTGAACATTAAACCTAATTTTCCTACCTCATGGATTTAATTGTCACGCTTAAATCCTGATTTGAATGGTTAAACAGAAGAGGTCAAAGGGCCAAGATGAGAAGATATAATGTTGGTCAAATGCTGTGGTCCAAATAAAATGACTTCAGTTTTATTACCATTGAGTTACAGAAAGTTTGACTCTAGAATGTTTTCATTTTTTCCCCTCTCAATATAAGTTGGCGTGACAGCGAGCAGCATGGATCAAGAGGAAAGTTGTAGCCTGGTGATATCCAAACAAACATCTGATAGTTGAGCACGACGTCCTGTTAGCGATTGCCACGTCACACATTTATATTTCTGTAGAAGCAAGAGTGAGGGTAGGATGAGTCATAAAATTCTAGCAAATCTCCAAAAGATGCAGCAGGAAGGACAAGAATGGGAGAAAAGTAGACACACAAAAAGAGACGAAAATAGTCAGAATTTAAATGGGGAACTTGTGGTTGAGACTTAATTTGCATTTGTTCATGCTGATTCATTTCTTTCCTTCTCAAATGTTTTTCACAAGACAGACTTTCAAAAGTAAGCCTACTGCTTCGGGCAGTAAGACTTTGCTTTATGTTTTGATGCTTTTAATGTTTTTCTGTGAAGCACTTTGAATTGCCTTGTTGTTGAAATGTGCTATACAAATAAACCTTGCCTTGCCTTCCCTTACCTTGCATCAAGAGGAAGAACGTCCCACCCAAACTTCAACATCATCACTAAGATGTGTATCACTATGTGACATCTCAGTCAGGTCGTTTCCTTCAGTTATTTACTATTTTAGCAAAGTCAGTCTCTGTCTCAGTGTCAAGTTATGTTGTTAACATTTGCACTTTCCCCACTTGAGAAGGACCGATGAGTCTACCCGAAGGATTTCTAACTGGATTTCACTCAATGACCAAAAAACTTTTCTTTTTCCTCCTTTTATTTTGGTAGGTTCAGCATAGTAGTTTGTTCACTAAGCCACTTAGTGTAGCGTCATGTAGTTTAGTTTAGGTAAAAAACCTTTAAATAGAAAAGAAACACAGAAAACAAAACCCATATTCAATATACAAATTAATGTAAACAGGCAAAGCATTTGTTATAGTTTGAGTAATAAAGCACCAGTGCCACATTATATAATCTAAACATGCCCTGCTATATTAACAAAAGTATAATTAGGACACCGAATGTTTTACATTTGAAATAGTTTTGTCCCCAAAAAAAGAATGAAATAATTCAGACTTCCATTTAGTGGATGTCCCACAGTGTCACATTACAGAAGAATCCTGTTGAACTTGATGTTGAATCAGTTTGATTATTGAACTGTAAATATGGATTGAAGAGGTTTAAACTGCGATTAGTTCAGCTGATATTCCAACAGTGCTAACCCTAGACTAACCTATTTCTATTGTGAAGTCTGAAGAGCTTTGCTAAAGTTAATTTAAAGTGTCAGGCAGTCAACTTATCCTTTTAAGAGATGAACACAAATATTTGTAATAAACTGTCATTGTAGGCAGACTAAATATTTTTTTCCCCATCAGAATAGAAAGGCTCTGGAGAGACGTTTATGGCGGCGTACTTGATCTCTTCTACACCATCTTTACCAACCTTGAGAGAGGAGGCCTTCTCAATCCCGACAACGAAATGAATCTCTCTGCTCTGCACTGGGAAGAATGGGATTAAACCTACGAGACAATGGTTGAAGACAAATATGCATCACCACATTGTGTCTGTGAGTGTTACACACTAACAGATCTAGGTACCAGTTTACATCACTCATTCAACTGCTTTCATACTGTAATTCAATATTTTGGCTGGCCAAGCAAGACAACAAATGCTGCACGATTACTAAAGTGTACAGAGTGATATATTGATGTACAGTCTCCCTAGACCAATCCAAACCCAGTGTCAGTGCTACAAATAGCAGCAAGAATGTCTCTTTCAAAGTTACAGTAGTCTTTGTAATGTCCTGGAAGTTTCAGCTCCACCACGTTAATATCCAGCTGGTGTCTGAGAAGCACATTCCATCCGATCCAGAACTGCACGAGTTTCCCAAGGATGCTTGGAGACGCTTCCAAAAAAGAAGAGTCAATATTTAGATAGACAGATAGATAGATAGATAGAAACTTTATTCATCCCCAGGGGGAAATTAGTTTGTAGCAGCAGCAATTTACAGAGTAAAATATTACGTATGGAAATGCACAATATATACAGTACAATAAAATAACACAGCAGATATTGAATTTGAAGAAATAGAATAACAAAAAGATAAAATAGAATAAAAAATAAAAATGCACAGTATATACAATGAATTAGAATGGTATTAAATTAACAACTAGGTCAACTAAACAAACTGAACAGTAGTGCAAGGATCATGGTATTAAATTAACAACTAGGTATTTTCTTCAACTGCCGAGAAGGATTTTGTTACATCAATCATTAATGCGATTTTAAAATAATTATTTTACTGAATTTGTGCTTTGGGTTGTTAGTGTTGCTGAGAATTCATAGTTAAAAAGGAAAGTAGAGGAAGCACAACAGACTCAGATAAATAACCTGTGAGGAACTATTAAAAGTTTCTATTCATTTACCGGTCTCAATAAATGTGCGAAGGAATCCTGTGGTTCGACATGTATCCTCCAAAGAGACATCACTGTCTTCATCCTCATCCTCTGTTGGCCACTTTATCTTCTCCAAGACCATCTGACGGATTCATTTTATACGATCAGGTAACACTTGTGTTTCCAAACAAACAAGAGAATAGAAAGCACAATAAACAGCAGAATAGAAAATGAGACAATTTCAATTGTTATGCCCTGATGCCGTGATGGAATTGTAATTCGATCAGGGCATAGTTGTTATTTTAAAGAACCATACTGGAGGTTCTTGCATGGCAACACGCTTTTTAAATTGGTTTCCTTCCTTTTAGGCAGCAATTAGTGTCAGTTAATTTCTATGAAACTCAACTTGCAAGGACTTCAGGACAACCATGTTTGAGCAGTACTTGCTCATGCAGTGATGTGATGTAGGTTTAACTTAAAAAGAGATCAAATGCTGACTGTGATCATTTCAATGCAACACGTTTCAGATCTCACCAGGTTAATATTTATTGTAATGAACTGAAACCAATGGCTGCCAGAGGGTAGAAAACACATGTCATTTCTGAGAAAGTAATTTGTGTGAGTGTTTTTGACTTAGCGTCATGGGGTCACTTACCTGTGGTGTGCACTGTACATCAGATGCTCTTGTAAAGAGGAGGGGAATTGTGTCTTTCCTCTCAGTTAGCAAAGGCCAGATCGGTGTCTCTTTTAACCCACTTCGTAACTGTTTCACTTGTTTTGAGGTTCTTCCAAGGACCTGCAAAACATTTGCATCACAACAGAAAAGCAAAGCAGCCTTACTAATCTTTAACTAATAGTCTAATTAGCATTACTTAATAAACTCATCAACAACCATGTGTATGTCACAATAAAGACAAAATGTGAAAGACAAAATGTTGTCCTACATCAGAACTTCAACTCTGATTAGTCGGTCTGGTTTGTATGATCTGTTAAGTACAGATCAGAATACTCAGAGCATGGAGGAGCAGTTTGTCCTGCAGCCATCTTCTGTTGTCAGATGTGACTGCAGGCAAATCCCAGAACAGTGCCAACTCATTAATTATTTTCTTCAGATGACAAATCTGCTGTACCCTCCAGCTAATGATGACAATTAGAATTAGAATAGATTAGAATTCCTGATTTCTCAAGACTTGCATAATATTCAGATTTGATACAACAAATAGGGAGAGGACAACTTGTCAATAACTATCAATCACGCGGTTGACAACACCAACTGGTCTCAAACCACATCCCAAATAATGTAGTTTTGTATCCCTTTTAAACAGCATGTTGGGAACCTGTTAAAACTGTGTTTGCTCTAAAAACACATTTTACATGATGACATCCGTCACTATAATTACATGTTTTAAAGAAATGTACTTACGTTTATGGTTTTAATATTGCTTCAGCACCCCCTACTGGTTTAAATTAGTAAATTATGTGATTGTGGTATTATAAATATCTGAGAAAAATTTCTGACATTAGGTATTACTTTTATTGTCCTTGCCCCGAATTTTTATCATTAAAATCTTACAGGAAAAATTTATTTTACCACTTTGATTGTCTCACGGATGTCAAGGTCAGCACAGTCCTTAATATCTATTATGGCTTCTTCTGGGGATCCACCAAAGAGCACATGCAGGATAGCTGGGCTGAGTCCTCCAAGGCATGGCCCACTATGGAGGAATGAATGACCAATCATTCGGCCAGCAACAACAAAGAAGTCACTCTCCAAAAGGTAATGCCAAGTGGAGGGAATCAGATGATCTTGTTCCCCCTCAAAAAGAAGAGTTCCTCCTGGTACATCAATTAAAAGAGAAAAGTGAAAGAACATTGATAGTGCAGAATGTAAAGGACATAGATATTCAAACTTTCATACAGACTTAGTAAGGAAATATCAATCAGCCACTGAATGTGATCCTGTAGAAACCTACAGGGCCACAGCAGCTGCGTCACATTTGTTTGTTTTTTAAGGTTTTAGGTATTCTCTGGGTAAGTAGAGACTGATCTGTGGTCAGCCTGGAACTGGTGCAAACGAAACACAGAGCCCGATAGCTGACAACCAGCCAGCAGCCAAAGTGAATATTCACTTACCAAAATTCATCTCAAAACCATACTGAAGTTTGGACATGATGCTTGCAAAGAAATGGCGAGTCACGCCATCACCAATTGCTGGATCTCCTGAAAAAGCAAAATACACAGTACAGACATCAGTTAAATGAATATATGATCATTTTTTATCTTTAGTTTTCCCTGTGTAACCAATTTACCCTCGAGTGTGCATGTCAAGGGGCAAGGCCACTCAGCATTAGCCCTCTTATAAAAAGAAAGGTCCTCTGCACGGTCTCCAAGATCCATGGTAAGATAGAATGATTTTCCAGTTGCATGCTGGCTTAAAATGTCTTCTTTGAATCTCTTTGCTGCCTCACTGGGATTTGAAAGAATTTTCCAATCTAAAAAGAGTTTTTAAATTATTCCAATTAATACTGGATGAATTGATATGTAGAGAGCAACAATTTATTGCAATAAATGATGTAATGTTTAAATGATGTAACACACCTGGCAAGCCTCTCTCCTCAGTGGGATCTAGGTCAACTATCTCAGGAGCAGCCACATGTCCCTGAGGTGGCACGCAGTAGTTTGTGTTGCTGGCCCTTGTTGTCTCGCTTGTAGTCTTGTCAACATGCTCACAAATCTACCTTCACTTCGGGGGGCACTTTCTGTGGTCACCACAATTTCTACCCCACCACTGTTCTGTGATGGTCTTGGGTAAAGAGAAGCACGTTTTGTTATTGGGGCTATTATATTTTATTACATTACACATTCACAAAAACACTGCAACTAGAAAAGAACGGTCATATAAATAGAATAAATACATTCAAATTCAACTTTCCCTCAAGACCAATATTCAGGATCATCCACATTCAAAATGCTTTACATCTTTTGGCAGACTCCAGAGCCTAATGCTTAATGTCTGATGTACGACTACTTGAGTGCTTGACAAATGTGACGTTTTAGTTCTGTAGAGCGATACCTCACGCACTCATCACTGTGAGCCTTGATTCTTGTAAGAGGGAACTCCTCTCCACACATTTCTGAGGTGGTCCAACTAGCTCATTACTGCATTCTGGTTGACATGCCTGTAAACAAGATCATTTTACAATTTAACACAAGCTATACTTATGTAAATGTTCAAACTCTTGCCATTTTCATATGGGAACACCAATTTAAAAGCATGACAATGATGTCATGTTGGTCCAAATGAATGACCTTGTGCGGTGTAATGATGTCAAGTCGGTCAAAATTAATGACCTTGAGCAGGATCTAAAGGGGGCTCAGCATGACAATGATGTCATGTTGGTCCAAATGAATGACCTTAAGCGGCGTAATGATGTCAAGTCGGTCAAAATTAATGACCTTGAGCAGGATCTAAAGCGGGCTCAGCATGACAATGATGTCATGTTGGTCAAAATGAATGACCTTGAGCAAGATCTAAAGGGGGCTCAGCATGACAATGTTATCATCTTGGCGCATATATCGGGGGTTATACGGGAGTTCCGGAAATGCATGTAAAGTGAGACACATGGTGATCCATTAAAACCAGCTGAGCAAACTAAGAAGCCTCTATTGCATTAATGTACAGCTCCCTTCATCAGAGATCCCATTGATGAAGGAGCGATATTAGTTAGATTAGCGTTTTATAGGGAGAGAGTTCTTCCACATCGCCAAGATCCGTTATCACATCATGATGACTTCCTATACGAGTGCTATCCATCCTGCCGACAAGGAATCATTTATTTACAGACCTTCTGGAGACATACATTGAACACCACACGCTGCAGCCGAGCATTGATGTCTCACACACTGGATGCAGCCTTGCGCTTTTTTGCGAGTGGTACATTTTTGTACAGTGTCGGCGATGCGGAGAACATGCATGCCGTGCTGTTCGTAAAGTTTATTTGGCGCTTAATAAACTTATGGATGTGTTCATTACATTACCATGGCACATATTGTATTGACTCACCATTCTGAGTAATGTGTTTGCACTTAGTTTTTACTTGCTCCCATGTCCTCTTGGGTTGCAACTACATGGAGGTTAAAGCACTCATAATTATATGACAGTGTTATTAGTACACCAGCATATCATTATTGTAGAAAATGATTAAGGTGGACTCTTGATAAGAATAGAGAGAATCACACACTATTTCTTTTCTCTGCTTCAATTGATTGAATTTCTTATTATGAATAATACACACATACACAGTGGTGTATAGTAACGAAGTAGAAATACTTCGTTACTGTACTTAAGTCGTTTTTTTGGATATCTGTACTTTACTATTTATATTTCTGTTGACTTTTACTTCACTACATTTTGCAAAGAAAACTGATACTTTTACTCAGATACATTTCCCCTGAAACCTTCGTTACTCGCTACAAAATCAAATCTATGTTCAGAAACAAATGAATCATGAGACCAGCGTCAGGGACTGTGGTGGACCAGAGACTGCGAGCAAGCAGGTTTGGTGAATCAGTGGTCCTAGCTTGCAAGTTAAATCATTGGTTAATCACGTTAATGCGCAATTGCAAACAAGTGCTCTCAAAGCCGCGGTGTTTAGATTCCCAGTGATGCCCAGGATGCTATATGCTATAGCTAGCGAGCGACTACATGAGCAGAATTCCACTCTATGATGACTGATTTCATGACGGAAGCAGAAATGGAAGCACCTGCTACTCCCGCAACAAACGACGGTGGTGACGAAGACCAACACCCGGGGATCGCTAGCGAGTTAGTGAGCTGAGGAAGTGTTGACAGTTGTGCAGCACTAGTTGGCTAACGTTAGCTATAGCTAGCCACCACACCATAGGATTGACAGGAGCCGCGAGAGCGCAGCATCAGGGTTAGCATTAGTGTTAGCATCAGGGTTAGCATTAGTGTTAGCATTAGTGTTAGCATTAGGGGAATCCTTCCCAGCTGTGCGCAAGCTGTGTGTGAAGCTGAACACACCTCTACCTGCCTCAGCGGCCTGTGAAAGGCTAGTTAGCATTGCAGGACTAGTCTTCAGCCCAAGAAGAGCGAGACTGAATTCTCGCAATTTTGAAAACCAACTTCTTTTGAAGATGAACAGGACATTTTTCAGTTTCCAGTAATGACTGGGTTGTTACTTTCGGTGCTGCTTTAGTATTGATCATGTTTTGATATTTGAGTCATTTTGTGGATGATCAGATGGAGTTATGATGGTAGCAGATTCAGCTTGAGCAAAACCTTTGCCTATTGTGTTCAAATCAGGCCCATAGGAGTTTACAAGGCAGGTGTCCTTTCTCACAACACTGACCTGATGCATCAAGTGGATATTTTTTGCTGAACACAATATGATGCATTTGCCCTCTACATCCTCTAGTCGGAATGAGCATACTTATAAACACACAGTTACAACTCCTTCATAGTGTCGTATTGCTTTTCGGAGAATTATGATGATAAGTTCATAGTAGATGCAAAAGTATATTTATGTACAATATATTATGTTGAACATTGTTGCTCCTGGATGGATCACAGCCAACCCAATTATTGTCAACACAGCTCCATGTCCTTGGTCATGGTGCCACAGCACTTAAAAGAATAAACTTCATAATTCTGACCCTTTGCTTTTTTATTAACAGCATTTACTTGTACTTTTACTTTCAATACTTAAGTACATTTAATATCAGAAAATTACTTTTGATACTTAAGTACAATAAATATCAGATACTTTAAGACTTTTACTCAAGTAGTATTCTAATAGGTGACTTTTTACTTTTACTGGAGTAGTTTTCCAGTAAGGTATCTTTACTTTTACTCAAGTATGGCTTTTGAGTACTTTATACACTACTGCACATACATACTGATCCGCCCACACACAGATTCGCACACACATATTCAAACTCCCAGTTCTATATGGTAATCTACACATACATGTATATACACATATAGTAGGCTACATGATACATACGTGCATACAGTACATACAGTGGGTACGGAAAGTATTCAGACCCCTTTAAATTTTTCTCTTTGTTTCATTGCAGCCATTTGCTAAAATCAAAAAGTTAATTTTATTTCTCATTAATGTACACTCAGCACCCCATCTTGACAGAAAAAAACAGAAATGTAGAAATTTTTGCAAATTTATTAAAAAAGAAAAACTGAAATATCACATGGTCATAAGTCTTCAGACCCTTTGCTGTGACACTCATATTTAACTCACATGCTGTCCATTTCCCTCCTCTTATCTGTCTTTTTACAACTTATTGGGAAAACACTGCCTTTTCTCTCCCTTCTCTCTTCTCCCCTTTTTTATTCTCTCCGCAATTTGGCGCTCGCTGGAGCCTGTGAGAAGACCCAGGGGGTTGGTTGCTGTAGCATTGTATTTGCCATCTGGTGGCTGTATTGTTACAGTGCAAGTCAAAAGTTGCAAAGAAAGACAATACAGAGATTTCAAAGCCTGTCAAATTATTTTAATCAATATTAATATTTGCACAAAGAAATGTCCAACACCAGCAGAATGACATAGTGGATCTTATTGATCCATGACAAAATGGAACAAATAACCTATTGTTTGTGCATTTTATTTTTCCAGCTCAGGGAAAATGTTCATTGTTTTGCGTCATTTTCTTTTTTTGAATCATGATGAAAGTAGCATTGAATTGATTACATGTAATAACAAATTAATACATACAAATAATTAATTTCTACATTTATGAACACAATGTACAAGAAGAAAAACAACAAAGGATTGTCACCGGCCACTGTTTTTTATTCCAAATAAGTTACAAACAAACCCCTAGTATAGTAGTGTACTTAGTACCAAAACAACGTAGGTTTTGCCCAAGATCTGTTACAGGTCCCAGCATGAATGGGCCTGATCACAGATTTTGTGCCTGAGTAAAACAGGAAATAAATGAAACAGGCAAACGCTGTGGCTTCTCGCTTCAGTGTCCTCTCAAGCTATGAGAAGACGCTGAACGCGCACCTCCAAATCTGTGGTCGCGAGGCAGATCGACAGCGCTCCACTGCCACCTACTGGGCATAGATAAAAATACACTTCTAAAGTAAGTTTAATTATGATAGGCAAATCACAGAAATTCGTTCAAATATGAATCTAACAACAAAAATGTGACCATACATTTTGTGTGCGTCACATTCACATAGGCGTGCAAATGTGTCACAGTGTGTATATTACATGTGCGTATTTTACACATTCATATCTACACAAGTACACTCCTACATGTATGAAAGCAACAGCAACGTTCTGTGGTTTTGGCATCTGGCTGACACTTACACATTGGATACTTTTAGGCATATTTGGGTTTTCACGCCTAACTGACAAATATGAAACAGGAGTAAATACATGATGTATACAACTAATGCAAATTAACCATGAACATGAAATATCAGATGAAATAATGAGATGAAATCTGTGAACACAAAAATGACTTTGATTAAACTATATCACAAACTGTATTGCATCACTCGGTTTGAAACGAAAAACGAGAATATCATGGTATTTCCGTATTTTGGTTTTTCCGAATTAACGGTAAAACAGATGACTAAAACGTACGCGGACCCCTCTCGCACCCAAAGCGAGAATCATACCCCTAGACCAACGAGCCGCTCAGACTACTGTACATTACTGTATAATTTGTTAGTTTGGCTGTACTGTTACATCTGTTGTGAGCGTATTGAAATAAGCTTGCCCTGGCTCAGTGGGAGAAAACAGGGGTCCTGGCCTTAGACCGTATATTGAGAGGACGATTCACTTACAGTAAGGAACAAATTAAACACAGACTGGAGGACAGCGCATGCAAGATATACACAGAAATAGACTAAACTAAAAAAATCATGTTTTTTACTGTATTAGGAATACTTAAAAAACCCAAAAGAAAACCGGAATAAATAAATAACTCAAATTACTATCAGATCAAAAAGCATCTGTACAAATATTGTTTTTTTTATCTATTCTTTTTTATTAGCTATAAAATGATTTTCAATAGGAAAATAATTTACGTCTCCAATGACGCGTCATGCGTCATGCGTCAGGCGGAAGTTGTTGTGATTGCGGAAGTGAAGCTACAGATGCTGGAGGCTCAGCCCACTGAAACAACTCTGCTATATCTGATTCTTCGTGTTTTTTAATTGAGGCTACATGTAGCTCTGTGGGAGCTTCGGTTTACAGCTCTATCAGGTAAGAATGACGACGACTGTGTTCAGTGACCGTTAGCTGCTTAAACCGGTTTAAACTCGTCACGTTACTGCGCTAAGTTAGCTGAGTTAGCTAAGTGCGTCTAACGCGACGTCGTTTGATCCGTGTGTGTGTGTGTGTGTGTGTGTGTGTGTGTGTGTGTGTGTGTGTGAGAGTGAGAGAGCTAATTCTATGTAGTTGTCAGATTATAAAGATGATAAATATGTCGATAAGCTAAAGTAGTATTTAGATCCTTTACTTACTGAAAAGTACTAATACCACTGAAAACACAACAGTACAAGTGAAAGTCCTGCATTTAAACATCTTACTGAAGCAAAGTATGTATCACCAAAGTGTGGCCTACTGATAGTATCAAAAGTAAAAAGTAGTCATTGTGTAGTAACATGTTCCCTGTCGGTGTTTTACTTTTGTATATAAAGTTTCCTGATTGATATTAATGTGTATTTTGCATTTTACTGCTCATTTTAACTCCTTTATATAGTTTATTCTACAGCAATGCTTCATATTCTATCAGGTCATCGTATGTTTGTAGCTTCATCCTCCTGCGAGAACCACAAATCTCTAAAAAGTCAAGTTTTCATGAGTTGAAAGGGGATGAAAAGTAACTCAAGCTGTCACACAAATGAAGTAAAAAGTCAAATATTTGCCCCTGAGATGTGGAGTAGAAAGATAAAGTTTCATAAAATGGAAAAGTAAGTAAAGTAGAAGTAAATGTTTACTTTAGGACAGTACTTGTGTAAATGTACTTAGTTACATCCCACCACTAACAGTGATTGTACAACCGTTCACACTAAACACACTTGAATAAAAGTGAATTAAGGTTATTTTAGAAATACAAATAGAGTATAAGCCTCTGAGCAGTTCCTCGACCTTTCTCCTTTAATCAGAGCCGCACCTCTTGAGCTGAACAACTGGTCTCTTGACACTGAATCAATACGAGTTAGTCAGCGCGCTGATGAAGCGTTCTCACGTTCGTCTTCGTTTGATCGATAAAGAGTCGAGTCATGCCGAATGGACCCTCCCAGCAGAGTCGCAGTGTTCCTCCGAATATACTCAGCCAGGATGTGAAGAGAGAGATGCAGGATATGGTGTGTTCTTGCACACTTACTGGATAGATTTACTAAAAACACTCATTAATAATGAAGATCAAGTCTTCAGATCATCACATCATCGACATATTAAATGTGAAATGTCTTTGAATTTGATTCTAAGGATATAACCAATAACAATAACACAGTGTTGAAAAAGCTTTCTGACTGTTAGTGTCCACGGTCTTCTTCAGGTTAGTCACCACAGCGTTCCTTTGCAGACTCTCCACTCACCACAGTGTTCACTCCTCAGCTCGTCTCCCCCGCCGTTTCTGGCCGAGCTGTCGCGATGGCCGACCCCAACGACACCAGTCTGCAGCCGGAGGAGCGAGTCCGCGCTCTCACCAAGAAGGGCAGCTCGGTGGAAGTCAACGAAGATGTGCCGCCGCGACGCTACTTCCGCTCCGGGATGGAGATGATCCGCATGGCCAACATCTACGCAGAGGAGGGCAACATCGAGCACGCCTTCGTCCTTTACAACAAGTACATCACGTGAGTGTTGAGCTGCTCATCAGCGGTTACTGGTTTCATTGTGTTTGGTACATTCATTTGTCCTTCATTGTTTGGCTAGTTTGAGGTTTTTCACGTGAAGACATGTTGTTCTCAGTGCAGGCATGAACACAAAGGTTTATCAGTCCGTTGGAAGATCTTTTCTTCTCTTTTCATCAAGTCTCTTCATAGAAAAACTTCCCAAACATCGGGACTACAAGACCGCTAACATTCCCGAGAAGAAGGACACACTAAAGGTACGCAGACAGTGTTTCTACTCTCCTGTACGACACGTTTTAATTGGTTTGATTTTAACGGCAATGCTGACGTTTCTCTTCCGTCTGCAGAAACTGAAGGACGTCGCGTTTCCTCAAGCAGAGATTCTGAAAAAAGCCCTTTTGCGGAGATTTGAACAAGACTATGCACAGCATCTGGTCAAAAAGGTAAACGTGTTAGCAGTCATTTAAAGAAACGTATACAGGTTGAGACATTGAGATTAATTACATTGTAAACATAAAACAACATCTAATACACATTGACAACACAACAAGCATTGTACGCTGATTTTACAGTGAGTTGTGTAAATCCTAAATGGGGTGAAACATTAATCAGAGTCGTAATAAAGGGAGACGTTTGTTCATTAACAGACGGAGGTAAAACAAACACATTGACCTTAAATAGTCACGCTTTGTATAACATCGATGTTAAGTCCAAACATGAATTACTCTGCAACAAAACTGCAATGTTGTTGAAGAACAACAGACACAAAAAAAGAGAGCAACCGATGTGTGTTTCCTCCTCAGAAAGCGGAGCAGGAGGCGGCGGTGCGGGAGCAGTCCAAGCAGCGGGCGCTGGACGCCGAGCGGGAGCGTGTGTCCGAGATGCAGCGGCGGCAGCGGGAGCAGGAGCAGTTCAGTGCCTTCGAGGAGATGATCCGCCGCCAGGAGCTGGAGAAGGAGCGCCAGCGCGTTCTCCTGGAGTTCGGCGCGCCCACCGCGCCTCCCTCCGACACGCCCCTCCTGCCAGGCATCCAGGGACCCCCGCCACAGGGGTCCCACGCCGCCCCGCAGAGCCCAGGGGACAACAACCACCAACACGACCGCCCGCCCGTGACCATCAGCACGCCCGGCGCCGCCGCCCTGCCCACTTTCGACCGGTCGCTCAAGCCCGGCTCTCTGGTCAGCCCGGGGAACAACAGTGAGTTAATCTGACGCGAGGGGGGCTGGACTTCACAGGGATTTAAATACTACTTTAAAGTATTTGCACTTCTGAGCTGATTTATTCCCTCCTGACCTACTTCATTTCCTGTTTGCGCCATGCCTCGTTTCAGAACACCACAAGAGTCTAACTTGTATTCGTCTGCATGTGTTTTTATTTTTTCAGACACAATGGTGGACGCTCTCCGGCAGTTGGCCGTTCCGGCCGAGCTGTGCCGGAGCTTTCTGAGGTTGGCCGAGGCCAACACGAGCCGAGCCGTGGAGACGTGCGGCATTCTGTGCGGCAAACTGGTAAGCCTCTGATGTAGTGGTGACTCCCCCTTTCTGAAGAGATCGTTTACAGGAAGCAAAAAATGTATAAATGAGATGTTAACAAAATGTTTCTCATCGTGTCTTTAAATCTGGATTTTTGCATTTTTGAAATCCATGACCTGAGATGGTTAAAGAAAGAAATCCCCTGTTTATGTTCTCGCGAAACAAAGGATGTTTCTCTGAGACGATATAAGGAATGTGGATTTTGAAACAGAGACATCAGCTGACCTCCCACCCCAGAGGGGGAGAACCTAACCTGACACTTCTCTCACTGTCCCAGGTCTGCTGTGGCTTTTCTTTGTATTATATCGTTAACTAAACGCTCCCGTCACTGTTTTTGTGTGCATGACGGAGCGCTTTTTCGGTGTTCCGTTACTTTTTGTTACAGAGTCCTTGGAGCTTTTTTTGGGAGACTGTTTCGATGCATAATTTAAAGGATTGCAACCGCGTGACGTCTTATTTTGTGTTTGCTCCAGACCAGAAATGCGTTCACCGTGACCCACGTCATCGTACCGAAGCAGAGTGGAGGACCGGACTATTGCGACACGGAAAATGAGGAGGAACTCTTCCTCATACAGGACCAGTACGATCTCATCACCCTCGGCTGGATACACGTGAGTAAAGATGGACCAACTAATCATCGTCTGCTGTTCTCAGAGTACGAGCTGATCCTGCTGAAAAACATTAAAGGAATACTTCACCCCCAAAATGACCTATTAGTTTATCAATAACTCAATCTGTGTTACTTTAAATTCTTGAAGAAAACTTTGTATTTATTTCATAGTGAACGGAGAATCCAAAAATCAGAGGAAAGTGTTGATGAATTTAAGTAAATGGAGGCCCAGATTAACAGCAGTACAACTTTATTAAATTATCCGTTTACAAACTCTCACACAACTCGTGCAGTATTATCTCGTATATCTATAGTCTCGTTTACTCAGCCGTCTGCTCACTACCTCCCAAACACCAGCGTCTCTGCTAAAACTTTAACTGTTTAAAAGTCTTCTGACTCACACAGACGAGTACTAGTGACTGTAGTAGCTGTAATGAATCAGCAGTGGACTGTTTGTTATTGTGTCTGACTAATTCTCGCTCTTCTGTGGTGGAAAATATTCTTGTACCCGCTTTGCGTGAGTCTTTTCATGCTGAAATACATAATACCAAAAACCAGGTTGTCTTTTTCAGTATTTATTCTCTGCGCAGAGAAGGTTCAATCATCACAGCAGAATGCGTACAGTCTCAGTGAGGAAGAACCAAGAACCAAGTGAACAAGCTTTCTTTATACACAATGAGCAAAGCTGGGGGCCGATGGCCAATGTTACAGACATTTTGGTAGACTGAGAGGAACAACAATGAAAAACAAACGCTCAGCAACCAAAACCAGCGGCCCAAAGGCCTTGGCGCTGGAACATTCTCATAAAACACAGTTAGTTATCTTTGTGAACAGGCAAGGGAGAACTCTTCTTCTGCACAACAGAGACATGGTGAAGTTCAACAAAGTTCAGAGCAAAATGACTTATGCATGAATACAATATACTGAGTAGAATTATATATTACGTAAGTAATTACCATTACTCTTCTGCAACACGTCACCTTGCGAGATTTCAGAACGAGACTTGTTTCCATAATGTTGTCAGACATTAATAATAACAATCTGAGCCTGTCAGGAAAAACCAGGCTGCAACCTCCGGTTCTGAAAAGTGAAGCCAATGTAGAAGTGTGTTAAAGCTGCATTCTCTCTAGTGTCCACCAGGGGGCGACTCCTCTGGTTGTGTAGAAATCTATGAGAAAATGACTCTACTTCTCTCTTGATTTATTACCTCAGTAAACATGAGTTTATGGTCTCTAGTTTCAAGTCTTCTTCAATACAGCATGATGTTCATTTCGTAAATGATGCTCCATTTAGAGTCAAACAGACCATAAAGCAGGGGATGCTTTAGGGCGGGGCTTACTGTGATTGACAGGTCGCTGCCAGAGACGTATACGGCGTCTTTACCGCGGCGTCACTCATCTGCAGTCCAAACTCGGTCACTTTACGCTCATGCCGAAGTCAAGGCTTCACAAAACCAACAATTTGAAACATCGGGCATGTGTTTGTGCGTTGAACACCAGTTAAACTGACTGTGTGTTTCCCAGACTCACCCCACGCAGACGGCCTTCCTGTCCAGCGTGGACCTCCACACACACTGCTCCTACCAGATGATGATGCCGGAGGCCATCGCCATCGTCTGCTCGCCCAAGTTTAACGAGTGAGTCGGAAGACCTGCTGCCGTCCCGTCTCTACAAACATCAAAAACAGAGTTTTAGTCTTTCAGCTCGCTCTCCTTCCATTCGTTACCTGTGTGTGTCGGCATGCTGCCGTGTCTCTTCTCCACGCTGACCTGTGTGTGTGTGTGTGTGTGTGTGTGTGTGTGTGTGTGTGTGTGTGTCTGTCTTTGTTTCTCTCAGAATCGGATACTTCAGGTTGACGGATCGAGGAACAGACGAGATCTCCACGTGTAAACAGAAAGGCTTTCATCCGCACAGCAAAGACCCCCCTCTGTTTACAGTGAGTCCACCTCCACTCACGCTGCTGCTCACATGTTTCTAATGCAGAGCGGTTTATATCAGCAACTTACTACAATAGTGTCCTTTACTTGAGACTAATCTGATCCAGTGAGACGAAGGGAAATTGCACTGGAAACAAGTGTGATCATTTTAGATTTCGTCTTCATTTCGGCTCTGATCTCCTAAATCACTAACCTCTCGTGGTGTCTGTCCGGCTCAGGTTGTGAGAGTTTTGAGGTAGTACATTGATGATGAATTAAAATGTGTTTATGGGGTTAACAGCATGAACGGTAACAGATCTTTGTAGAAACAAATGTCCCAAAGTCAGTCTGGATAATCTACAGAACAGAACTTCCCCCTGCGGATAAATAAAGTATCAAATCTATCTATCTGTTTGTTCGTTAGGTTATTTTAAACAGCATTAGTGTGTGAACATATTAAATATATAAAGTACAAGCAGTACTGCGTTGTACTTTTTTTTTTTTTTTTTTTTTTTTTTTTTCCCCTTTTTTTTTTTTTCCCCTGTCCCTGTGAGAATCCTCAAACTGAAATCTGTCTCTCTTCTTCTCGTCAGCACGCGGGTCACGTCAACATCACCGATGACACCGTGTCCATGATGGATCTGCGGTGATTCTTTGTCACCAGAACACTCGGGACTGTTTTATCAAAGCGGAGACATTTTACTGGAGGAAACACTGGTTTTACTGTCAGGACGGTTCTGAGCAAACGCCGACCCACGAGTTCACTATTTCTACAGACTTCAGTTGTTCTCAAAGAAAACAACGTCGTGAACCTTTATTTCACTTTTCTTCATTTTGCTCTGTAAGAAAAGATATTACATATTATTGCACTTTCCAAGCAAACAACTCGGATCCTCCCTCAAACCTCCGGCTCTTCATCCCCTCTGTTCTCCGTATGTGCGCTCAACTTTA